CAGACCTCTGTATTGGTTTCCTGGTATATGCTGGTATGTTGTATTCACATCTTGGCGCATCAGGATGCTACATCTTCTAATAGCTGGGCACCATCAGCTTACTTCACCACATTTGCTTATGTAACCATTTTGGCTTCAGCAATCATGTCGGGAAGGTGGACATTGAGGCTGTGAATCTTTATGGGAACAGATAGCTCATCTTTCTCCTGAGGAACAGCTGGTGATTTTCAACTGCTGACCTTGCAGTTAGCAGTCTAACACTTAGCCAGTAGAATTGCCAGATGTTAGGTGCTAGTAGGTAGAGTCAATTTTGACGCAGTCACCTTGTGTATGACCGAACAAAACATTGTACCATCCTCACAACTACTGTGTCAATCCATCTCCTTGAGGTCTTCTTTTTCACTGACATTGTACCAAGCACGATGTCCCGTTACAGGGACCGGTCTTCATTTTCTCTCTCTCTCTTTAAAAATTATTTTCTTGGGGGCTCATACAACTCTTATCACAATCCATACGTCCATGCATTGTGGCAAGCACATTTGTACATTTGTTGCCCTCATCATTCTCAAAACATTTGCTTTCTACTTGAGCCCTTGGTATCAGCTCCTCATTATTTCCCGTCCCTCCTTGCTTCCCCCTTCCTCATGAACCCTTGATAATTTATAAATTATTATTATTTTGTCATATCTTACAGTGTCCAACGTCTCCCTTCACCCACTTTTCTGTTTTCCATCTCTTAGGGAGGAGGTTATATGTAGATCTTTGTAATCAGTTCCCCCTCCCCACCCCACCCTCCCAGTATCTCCACTCTCAACACTGGTCCTGAAGGGATCATCGGCCCAGGATTCTCTGTGTTTCCAGTTCCTATCTGTACCTATGTACATTCTCTGGTCTAGCCAGATTTGTAAGGTAGAATTGGGATCATGATAAGTGGTGGTGGGGGGAAGCATTTAGGAACTAGAGGAAAGTTGTATGTTACATTGTTGCTACACTGCACCATGACTGGCTTATCTCCTCCCCACAATCTTTTTGTAAGGGGATGTCCAGTTGCCTACAGATGGGTCTTGGGTCCCCAATCTGCACTCCCCCTCATTTACAGTGATTTGATTTTTTGTTCTTTGATGCCTGATACCTGATCCCTTCAACACCTCACGATCGCACAGGCCAGTGTGCTTCTTCCATGTAGACTTTGTTGCTTCTCAGCTAGATGGCCACTTGTTTATCTTCAAGCCT